CACGCTAACTCAGTATAGAGGGAACACTGCTGACGAGTACTGTGAAACAAAGTCCCCATTCCTCGTTTTTTGGCGTCGGCTGCAAAGCCGTGACAAATTATGAGCCGACAAAACGTGTCACCCATCAGGCAGCAGGCCTGGGCCGAGGTGAGCCAGGCGGTTACTGTCCTATAATGGTCGACAAAAGTCCACCCAGTGGAACGAGCGTCGCCGCTGATGTCACCGGCCCGCATGTAAATCAAAATTACCTCATTGGCTCCCTTGGAGAGATGCCAATTTAAACCAGCTGAGCGGCGGCCCGGGTTAATGTCAGCCGCCGCAATCAGTCCATTACATTCAGAGCTTTAAAAGCGGTGAGGGGGCACCAGGGTCATTAGGCCCATAATTGAAAGACATTTGCACAGGCAATTTCTCTTTCTCCGTTCTCAGCCATCCATGCCTACCTGCTTGGACCGCTACAACCCCCGGAAAGGTATCGTTAGCGTGATCGGGGTTCATACGTGCAAAGCCCATTACGACTTCCAATTGGCACGGGGTGGGAAGCCCTTCATATCACCGCTGAGGCCGTTTGTTTACTCCATTATCTTCAAATAGTTCAGCGAGCACAGGTAGGGCGGCTAACGGCCTATAGCCTAAATGGTTGCCATTTCCAGAGAAGCAGAGAAACACCACAGGTTTTTCAGAGCCTTAATTCTCACAAAGGCTCTGCAAGGCGTATCACACAGTCCTATTTAAGCAGTCTCTGGGAAAGAGAAACACACAAACACCACCCCGGTAAGAGGGTTTCGGTGCTCTTTTGGGGAAGTCCCTGAGGAAAAGTCTACTTGAAACAAAAACAGCCCTGACTTGGATAGCCCGGGCGAGCCAAATCTCATCAGATCTTGAAAGCTAAGCAGGGCTGACCTTGGTAAGTACTTGAATGGGAGACCTCAAAGGAATACCAGGGCCAGGATACAGAGGAAGGTGATAGCAAGCCACCTCGCTGAAAGTCCTAGCCCCACTAGGGGTCACCAGAAGTCAACCATGACTTCCAGGCATACACACACACATACACAAATACTCACAAACAAAACAAAACCCAAACCTGTTAATCCCTTTAACTGGAGTTTTGTAAGCATGGAATCCAAAAGAGAATATGTTTTGTACATGAGGGGGAGAGTCAGAAATCCTAAGTATTTGTGCCCCAATGTTCAGGAGGATCATATCTGTATAATGTTTATATTTATTTAGTGGAGAAGTACAGCACATTCAGTACACAAGGTGCTTTATCCATTTTCATCTTACAACAAAGTTGTGAAGTAGGTCACTTATGGTCCCAATTTTATCTGATGTAGAATGGATGCTGAGGAGTATTGACTTCCAAAAGAAAAATCCGGGGTTCGGCTAATAGTTCAACCCAGCTTTCCTTACTCAAGGCTTAAAAGCCAATCCTTAGAAAAAGCATAGCATACAAGTCTCTTAGCACCTTAAAGACTAACGACATTTGTGACAGGATATGAGCTTTCATGAGTGGCTTATGAAAGCTCCTAAAGGTAAAGGTTTCCCTCGCTCGAAAGCCAGTCAAATCCAACTCTAGGGGGCGGTGCTCATTTCCGTTTCCAAGCCGAAGAGCCAGCGTTGTCCAAAGGCTTTTCCGTGGTCATGTGGCCGGCATGACTAAATGCCGAGGCGCACGGAACGCTGTTACCTTCCCACCGAAGTGGTTCCTATTTATCTACTTGCAATTTCTTGCTTTCGAACTACTACGTTGGCAGGAGCTCGGGCCAGAGACGGGAGCTCACTCCATCACGCGGCACCCTGGTCTTGAACTGCTGACCTACCGATATTCCGATCTGCAACTCAGCGCCTTAACCTCTGAGCCACCGTGGCCCCCGTGAAAGCTCCTACCCTGCCACAAATCTTGTTAGTCCCTATGGCGCTCCTGGACTCTTGCTCTTTTCTGCTGCTACAGACAAACATGGCTACCCATCTTGATATAAGTCTCTTGGTATACTATTCAGAGAGCAGGCCCCTGCATGGCGCTTGATGGTGTCATCAAGTTACAGCCAGCTGATGGTGACCTTGTAGGGTTTTCAAGGCAAGAACCAAACAGAAGTGGTTCACCATTGCCAATGTCTTCATAGTGACCCTGGACTTGCTGGGTGGTCTCCCATCCAAGTCACCTACCAGGGCCGACCCTGCTTAGCTTCCAAGATCTGGTGAGGTCGGGCTAGCCCCGGTCATTCGGGTCAGGGCATCCCATTCACTCGGTTGGATCCTATGCTTTAGTTCTGGTCCTGCACAAATCGGCCCTGTCACTTCAACCGCTGGATGATAGGACCCTAGAGGCAAAGATCTCAGAAGTTATCTGCTACTACAACACTTTTCCTAGGATTTCCCTATATAGCCAGAGCAAACATCTCCCCTGGTCAGTGACTCATTTTTAACAGGTTTTGACCCCAGAAATGCTGATTTCGTTTTTAGTCTGAGCCAGATTCAGGTACTTTAACCTTCTACATTCACACAGGAGCAGTAATCGAAACAAAGGGGTCCTCGATCTTGTTGAATCTGTGGATGCTTTTTGGAATTTTGAGTACAGGATGTGGATGCCACGACACAAGGGCTGCTACAAGGAGGTGAGAACAGACACAAAATTAGGGCTCCCAGATCTCTTTAGCCCACCAGCGGGGGCATGGGGGGGTGTTCCAGGAGTAAGAAGTGATGTTGCCCCCCAAAACAGTGATGTCGCACACAATGTGCTTGCATCACCCAGAAGTGATGTTGGCACATCGGCATTGTTGAGGGTGACACTCTGGATTTGGGGCAAACCTCTGAGGTAAAATCGACATAAAACCATAGAGTTTTGCCCAAAATCCAGAGTGTCACCCCCTCCACTGATGTGCCAACATCACTTCCAGGTGACAAAGGCATGTTGCATGTAAGTTTGCTGTTTGGGGGGAGATTTCCTCCTGCTGGCCAGCCGGCTGGCAGTGGGCAGGAACCCACAAAATCAGGGGATCCCCTGATCCCACCGGGCAAATGCCAACCCTACACAAAATCACTGCAATAGGGTCTAGGTAGGGTTTTCAACCCCCAGGTGGCAGCTGATGTACTCCCAGAATTACAACTCATCTCCAGGCATCCTGGGTGGGGCCTGGTGGGGCTTTTGCCCAGGAGGGCTTCTGATTGGCCACTGGAGTTCTGATTGGCGGTGCAGATTTTTTAAAAAAAGTTGCTTCAGCAGCAACTGTCACCACAACACGAGGATCTTCACTGAAGGTGAGTTGTGTGTATCCGAGAAAATATTTGTAGCTAAGATTCTCATTTTAAAAGGCATCTTGTTCAACACAGCTTCTGCCTGAAACGCTGAAGGGTTACTATTAGAGTCATGCATGACCTGACTCCCTGCCATTTTGTGGTTGGCTCTGCCGCTTATGGCAGCCATTTTGTGGTTGACCCCCCCTCTTATGGCAGCCATTTTGGAATTGTGCCCACCACCCTGTGTCAGAACTCCAAAGGTGCCCTCAGACTCCAAAGGGTGGGGACCCCTGCTTTGCAGCATCACATCCCTGCTGAGGTCTCTCCTCTCTCTGAGCTCCGCACTCCCCAGGCCCCCCCGCCGAGAATTTTCCGGAAGGTTCCACAAATGTTAGGAGGCCTCAAGCCAAGCATCCACCAATGATGAAGGTAGCTATTTCCAAATGGAAATATTTCCCCTGGTGTCTTTTTAAAAAATAATTGTATTTATAACTTTTAACTTTAAAACATATAAACAATGCTATACTGTATATGAATAATTTGTTGTTGTTCAGTCGCACAGTTGAGTCCGACTCTTCGCGACCCCACGGACCAGATCACGCCAGGCCCTCCGGTCTTCCGCTGTCCTCTGAAGTTTGCTCAACTTCATGTTCGTTGCATCTATGACACTATCTAACCATCTCATCCTTTGCCGTCCCCGTCTTCTTTGACCTTCAATCTTTCCCAGCATCAGGGTCTTCTCCAGTGAGTGCTCCCTTCTCATTTGGTGGCCAAAGTATTTGAGCTTCAGTTTCATTATCTGGCCTTCCAGGGAACAGTCAGGGTTGATTTCTTTTAGGATTGACTGATTTGATCTTCTTGCAGTCCAAGAGACTCTCAAGAGTCTTCTCCAGCACCATAGTTCAAAAGAATCTATTCTTCGCGCTCGGCCTTCCTTATAGTCCAACTCTCGCAGCCATACATGACTACTAAGAATACCATTGCTTTGACCATGCAGACTTTTGTTGGCAGAGTGATGTCTCTACTTTTTATCATGCTGTTTAGGTTCGCCATCGCTTTCCTCCCAAGGAGCAGGCGTCTTGTAATTTCATGACTGCTGTCACAGTCTGCGGTGATCTGGGATCCCAGGAACGTGAAGTCTGTCACTACTTCCACGACTTCCCCTTCTATTTGCCAAGGAGTGATGGGGCCGGATGCCATGATCTTAGTTTTTTTGATGTTGAGCTTCAAGCCCACTTTTGCGCTCTCCTCTTTTACCCTGAACAAGAGGCTCTTTAGGTCCTCTTCACTTATGCCATTAAAGTGGTGTCGTCTGCATATCTGAGGTTGTTGATCTTTCCCCCAGCAATCTTAATTCCGGCTTGTGATTCATCCAGGCCAGCATTTCGCATGATGTACTCTGCATATATATTAAATAAGCAAGATGACAATATACATCCTTGTCGTACTCCTTTTCCTATGCTGAACCAATCAGTTGTTCCATATCCGGTTCTAACTGTCGCTTCTTGACCCTTATACAGGTTTCTCAAGAGACATGTATAATACAAATACAATATACTTAGGAAATGTAACATTTGCATTATAGTAGTAGTAATAATAATAACCATTCAAATAGCTAACTACAGAGATTACTATGAGCATTGATATATACTGACCCTATTAGTTTGTTTTTGAGCAAATATGATTGATCTATAAAATCAAGTTAAGGGAGGAGTGGGGAATCAAGCCCGGTTCTCCCAGATTAGAGTCCACAGTCCTAGCCACTACACCAAACTGGCTCTCCACTTGGTAGAAGTCCACTTGGGTCTATATGGGGCACAGACAAAGTCCCTGATGCACTTATCAAGGAAATAAACACTCCTAATCCTTTCGTGAATGAGAGAGGAATGTGTCCCGGCGACGCTTAGAACCACACAGATGTCCAAACCTTTCAGCACAGCATTTGGATCGCCTTGGAGATGAGCTGCCACAATCCACGATTTGGAGGGGAAGCCTAATGTTAGAATTCGCTGACCCTACGGAGAAGAAGAAGAAGAAACAAGGGGTTTTGTAGGTTTCCCCCTCCTCTTAGTTGTCTGTATTTGTGAATGTTATCAACTAGATAAAGCAAACTGGAACTAAAGGTTCACACTTCCAGAATGGTTTACGTGCGCACTGGGGAAGTCCAGACATCCGGAAACGCAGGACGAATGCGCAGGGATCCGTTAGTATTGGAATTAAACGACTATCTGTTTACTTCATCTCCAACTCACGTTGCAATGGGGTGAGTATGACTGGGGAATGGCTGCTGGATGTTCGGGGAAAGCAACTATATCGGGCCGAACCGCCCGTCTGACCGCAGCCGCGGTCTCCCGAGCCTCTAAGATAACGAAGGCTGCAGTCCTGCAAGCCATAAGTTGTGGGTGAAATTCCTTGAAGTCCACAAGCTTTGTGTCCAGTAGGATCATAGCTCAAAGTTGCCTATCTGGAATCTCCCATGGTTTCCCTTTTAGTTACCAGCAGTTAAAACTATAAGCTTTCATGTGCAAGCACATATCTCCAGGTATCTGAAGAAGTGCGCATGCACACAGAAGCTGATACCCAGAATTAAACTTTTGTTGGTCTTGAAGGTACCCCCCCCCGGACTCCAACTTTGCTCTGCTGCTTCAGACCAACACGCCCCACCTGAATCCAGCGGTTTAAAGGCCTTGAAGACTTTTATGGAGACTGTTTATGTCTCTCTGGATCCTTTGCAATCTTGTCCTATATCGGACACTTGTTTTATAGTGGACATCTAGAAGATCATAGTCACTGGGTCAGTTCCTAACCTACAACCTACAAACCAACCAGAGTGGTGGAAATGCCCTCAGGTTGCAGCTGATTTATGACAACCCCACAGGGTTTTCAAGGCAACGGACGTTTAGAGGTGATTTGCCATTGCCTGCCTCTGTGTAGCAACCCTGGACTTCCTTGGTGGTCTCCCATCCAAGTACTAACTAGGGATGACCCTGCTCAGCTTCCAAGATCTGATGAGACTGGGTTAGCCTGGGCCATCCAAGTCAAGCAGAGAGAAGCAGAGGTGGTTGGCCATTGCCTTGCTCTGCTGAGCAACCCTGGAACTTCCTTGGTGGTCTCCTATCCAAGTACTAACTAGGGATGACCCTGCTTAGCTTCCAAGATCTGATGAGACTGGGCTAGCCTGGGCCATCCAAGTCAAGCAGAGAGAAGCAGAGGTGGTTGGCCATTGCCTGCCTCTGCGTAGCAACCCTGGAACTTCCTTGGTGGTCTCCTATCCAAGTACTAACTAGGGATGACCCTGCTTAGCTTCCAAGATCTGATGAGACTGGGCTAGCCTGGGCCATCCAAGTCAAGCAGAGAGAAGCAGAGGTGGTTGGCCATTGCCTGCCTCTGCGTAGCAACCCTGGACCTCCTTGGTGGTCTCCTATCCAAACACTAACTAGGGATGACCCTGCTTAGCTTCCAAGATCTGATGAGACTGGGCTAGCCTGGCCCATCCAAGTCAGGCAGAGATGAGCAGAGGTGGTTTGCCATTGCCTGCCTCTGCGTAGCAACCCTGGACTTCCTTGGTGGTTTCCCATCCAAGTACTAACTAGGGATGACCCTGCTTAGCTTCCAGGATCTGATGAGACTGGGCTAGCCTGGCCCATCCAAGTCAGGCAGAGATGAGCAGAGGTGGTTTGCCATTGCCTGCCTCTGTGTAGCAACCCTGGACTTCCTTGGTGGTTTCCCATCCAAGTACTAACTAGGGATGACCCTGCTTAGCTTCCAGGATCTTATGAGACTGGGCTAGCCTGGCCCATCAAGGTCAGGCAGATATGAGTAGAGGTGGTTTGTCATTGCCTGCCTCTGCGTAGCAACCCTGGACTTCCTTGGTGGTCTCCTATCGAAACACTAACTAGGGATGACCCTGCTTAGTTTCCAAGATCTGATGAGACTTAGCCTGGGCCACACAGGTCAGGACACACCCAAACACACCCCTCACAATTCCATACCTGCTTATCCAGGAACACAACCTGTGGCTGCCTGGGCAGTGGTCGACCCACAACTCCATCAGAAGGCTGAATCCAGAGAGAGAGGTTGTAAGGCCTGACATACAGGCAAGTTCTTCGAGTTTCACTGCTTCCATTTCTGTTAAATGGGAAATGGAGGGGAAGGGGGGGGGGAGTCACTAATGGTGAAAAATTCGGAATGGTGAAAAATTCGGAAGACACCTGAAATATTCACCACTGCTTCTCGGAGACAGAACTTCAAAACTCTGCCAGTGCCGTAAGACACCATCCATCCACTGAATTAGCTCAAGGCAAAATGTCCCTTTGAGTCTCTCAGCCAACTCATGCTCTTTGCTTGAGGACAATTTGGCTCTACCACCATAGGAAGGCGATTCCTGGACCAGAAGTTTATATCTGAGAACCACTTGGCATGTGATTGCACTTTTAGAGGCCTCATTTATTTTTTACTCTGTGCCTGGTGTAGGGCTGCCAATTCCCCCCGGGGGGCGGAATTCCCCCCGCTTCGAAGCCCCGATATCCGCTTTCGCGGAATCGGGGCCCGGGGGAAACCCCACCCCCGCATGGACGTCGCTTCCCTGTGACGTCATCACGCTGGGCGGGGCATAGCCATTTGAGGGGAAAACATAGAGTTTTCCCCTCAAATGGCTGCCGTTTGAGGGGAAAACTCTATGTTTTCCCCTCAAATGGCTATGCCCCGCCCAGCGTGATGACGTCACAGGGAAGCGACGTCCATGCGGCGCGCGCGCACTTCGCGCGCGCGCGCGCGCTCCGGGAGACAGGACAAAGTCCCCCGCCGGAACAGGTAAGGACATTTGGCAACCCTAGCCTGGTGGTTTATCTTGAAACAACTTGCTTCTGGTCCTTATTGAGTTTATACTTTGTATTTATATGATTGTACTATATTTGTATAGTAGCCAATATGTTCCTCACTATTGACCTCTGAGGAAGGCCTATGTAGGCCGAAACGCGTCAGGTCAGATTTATAAGCCCTTGTGTTATATTGTTTGTTATTTATACCTAATGTGTGATTGGGCCCTTATATAATTTTAAAATTTGAGATTAATAAATACATGTATTTTTATATATTTCCTTCATTAATTTTTAATATTGGCCCCCTTTCTTACATTTGACTAACCTTTGTTAGGTTCTGGATTCTAAGTTTTAGGTTCAGTTTTTCTTCCCCTTTTTTAGCCCTATGAAGCTCCACCTCATGGGTTTCTCAAGGCAAGAGATTGATTTTTAAAGGTTTTCATTGAAAATTTAACATCAGATACAGTGACAATAAACAGTCATAAACATATGAGATCTCAGTAAACAATTAAGTATCAATAAATTAACACAGTGAAACATCCACAACACAATTGTGATCAAAAAGAGTCTTTGTTTGGAGCAATAACATTTAAAACAATTTTAATTTTTTTAAAATTAAATTTATATGTTTAAAATCAATTAAATTTAAAAGCAATTAAATTTTAAATTTTAATTATTTTTTTAAAAATAAAAAATATAATAATCAAGAGAGGCAGAGTAAGGGTCTTCAATTGAGGTTTGTATCAGTATCCTTTCCGTTGTGAGATAATCCCATATGTTCCTGTACCAATTCTTAAGAACTGGGGGTGAGGGAGATTCCCAGGAGGTGGCGATTGCAGACCCCGCAATGGTGCATAATATAGAGACCAAATCTTAACTTGGGGGATCGGGGATTGATCGATTGAATTCGATTTGTGTCCCATCCTCCCCGCAAGGGGGTGGGGTCAGGGCGGGTTCCGTCATAAAATTCACAATACAACAAATTGACAGTTGAAATATATCTAAAAACCTACCTAAAAGCAATATTCAGTAAAAGACCGGTGCCTCGACAAATTTCAAGAAGAAGCGGTTTGTTCCCCGGCGGCCATTCGGAGAGGAGCGAGTGTTGCCAGATCCCGGTTGTACAATTCTTGGAGATTTGAGGCATAGAGCCTGGGGAGATGAGGGGAGGGGACCTCAGCAGAGTACACTGCCACAGGTCCACCCTCCAAAGCAGCCATTTTCTCCAGGGGAACTGATTTCTGTTGTCTGGGGGGATCAGGGGTAACTCCAGAGATCTCCAGTCCCCACCTGGAGGATGGCAACCCCAGGATGAGCAGAGGCGGTCTTCCATTGCCTTCCCCTGCACAGCAGCCCTGGTCTTCCATGGCGATCTCCCATCCAAATAGTGACCTTGCTTAATTTCCAAGCTCTGATGAGAACGGCCCAGAGTGGCCGTAGTCCTTTCAAAACAGACTCTTCCGTTTTGGTGTGGTGTTGTCGTTCAGAGCGGCCGACCCTAATCTGGAGAACCGGGTTCAATTCCCCACTCCTCCTCCACATGCAGCCAGCTGGGTGACCTTGGGTCAGTCCCAGTTCTCTCAAGAGCAGTTCTCTCAGAGCTCTCTCTGCCCCACCTACCTCACAGGGTGTCTGTTGTGGGGAGAGGAAGCCCCATAGCTAGGGATTTTTTGGGGGGAGGGGGCCTTGAGGGGGCCCACCAGCTAATTAAATCAAAGGCTCCAGGGCAAGGGGGGGTTATGCCCAGTGGCTGCAGCTCCCCCCCCCCACAAGGGTAGGCCTTCCCTGGAGCATCCGGCTCCCTCCCTGAGAAGCTCCACTGCCCCTTCCCACAGCACGGCAGCAGGGGCGGCCTGAGTCATTGTTATCCTTAAGCTTCTTTTGGGGGGGGGGAAGTAACGTGCAGGCAGACATCCCATAGCGTTGCCAATCTCCAGGTTGTATCAATATATAAACACTCGGTGAATAATTTACAAACAAAATCAGAAAGACTGTATTGGACACAGCCACTCAAACAGTATCAATTCTTATGAAGTTCAACAAACACCCTTATATATTTCCTTAAAGAGCTAGGATCAAAAAAAAGTTCCACGCCTGTAGGACTATTATTGTAGAAGCCTGTTTGGCAGAAAGAAGACGTGTCAGTGGGGTGATTGTGTTTGAAAACTGGTTTAAGGAGATTTGTCAAGTTTGCATTTCATTCCACAGCCAAGAGTACCGGCTGTCTGAAGAAGTGAAAAGCAAACGCGGCAGTGAAGCCAGCCATGCTTAGTTGATACTCCTACACAGGGCTTTTTTTTTGTAGAAAAAGCCCGGCAGGAACTCATTAGCATATTAGGCCACACCTCTGACAGCACAGCTCATTGGCATATTAGGCCACACCCCCATGTTACCAGAAGTGTGCTCATCCAGCCACACCCACCTTTCCCTTCTTATTCTGTTTACCTTGTTTGTTGTCCAAACCCAGGGGCTTTTCTGTAGCAGGAACTCCTTTGCATGTTAGGCCGCACACCCCTAATGTAGTCAATCCTAATGAGTTTCTGCTGTTGGGTGTGGCCTATTATGCTAATATGTTCCTGCTGGGTATGGTCAACTTGGAAGCCAGCCAGAACTCCGTTCCTGTGCGTTCCTGCCCAAAAATAGCCCTGCTACAGATGTGGAACTTTTTTCTCCTGAAACCGTTTAGACATAGGATTTGGTGGACTTTATTCAGAGTTTTTCCATTGAATCAAGTACTTTTTGATCCTAGCTCTTTAAGGAAATATATAAGGGTGTTTGTTGGACTTGATAAGAATTTATACTGCTTGAATGGGTTTGTACAATACAGTCTTTCTGCTTTTGTTCGTAAATTATTCGCGGAGTGCGTATCCATTGATACAATCTCCACCCGTGAGCTCTCTTTTTGATATACGATCTCCAGGTGGTGGCTGGAGATCTCCCAGGATTACAACTGATCCCCAGGTGACAGTGACCACTTCTCCTGGCGAAAACAACTGCTTTTTGGGAAACCCCCATATCTACAGGTGTTTCTCAACCTGGAGCTGGAAACCCTATCTCCAGGCCATGGAACCTAGTTCCCCTGGAGGAAATGGCCACTTTGGAAGGTGGACTCTATGGCATTGAAGTTCCCTCCCTCCCCCAAACCCCGTCCTCCTCAGGCTCCACCCCCAAAATCTCCAGGAATTTCCCCGCCCAGAGCTGGCGACCCTGTTAGCAAGCCAGTTTTCCAAGAGTAAAATCTGCACTGAAGTATCCAGGGAGCAGCGTGCATTTGAAATGAGTCTATCCAGCAGTGCGCGCTTCCTTCATTCCCAGCCCACGCGGCCTCGCCTCCTTCTCTTGTCATTTATGCAGCCCATCTTCTTATAGATGCTTCTAATCCGCTGCAGCAAAGTGGCGACTTGGGGTTTGATATTGCCTCGAAATGAAAAGTAGAAAAGCTATTTATTCAGCTCTCTCGGTGTTTGCTTTGAGGTGTTTACAAACAATGGATTTATTGAGAGGCAGTCTGCTTAGGTTTAACTCGATTTCTTCCATTGTTTTTCATCCCTTATTTTTATTTTTCTTGCATCCCGTGGTCCCTGCTGCGCAATTTGTTTGCCTTTGCGAGAGGCACCGGGGAAGAAAAGCTTAAAAAATAAAGCCAATCCGTCAGATGGCTAATTGAAAGGCTGAGGACGACACATGGCTTCCCGATAGACAACCAGTTTTGGCGCACCAACCATGAGTAATAGGGACCGTGCACTGCCCGCGGTCCTCCTCAGAGGCATGGTTCCTGTTTTGTGTCAATAGGGCAATGCATGTCTTTTTTGCATGCCTTTGTGCATGTGAACAGAACGCTGAATGTTGAGGATAGCCCTTGATGCATACAGAAGAAGAAGAGGAGGAGGAGGAGGAGGAGGAGATTGGGTTTATACCCCACCCTTCACTTCCCGAAGGAGTCTCAGAGCGGCCTACAATCTCCTTTCCCTTCCCCTCCCCACAACAGACACCCTGTGAGGTAGGTGGGGCTGAGAGAGCTCCGAGAGAACTGCCCTTGAGAGAACAGCTCTGAGAGAACTTGTGACTGACCCAAGGTCACACCAGCAGCTGCATGTGGAGGCGTGGGGAATCAAACCCGGTTCTCCCAGGTTAGAGTCCACGCTCCTAACCACTACACCAGACTGGCTCTCTAAAGGGCCAGTGTGGTGCAGAGGTTAAGAGTGTCAGACTCAGGCCCAGTCTGCATCTAGCATTTGCTGCGCTGTTTTTCCCAACCCACCCTGGAACAGAAATTCCCCTCTAAGTTGCATGCCACTTTCACTTTGA